CTCGTGTCGCATATAAGGTGATGTAATGTTCTGCATGACGGGAAGCTTCGTCCCTATTCAATCCCTCCCTCTTCCCTTCTCCACCCCTGCGTCTCTCCAGTTTCCCATAACTTCAAAAGCATCTTCAAACCAGTACTCCAGATTTCGTAATAAAAGGGAGGGGGTCACAACCCTCCCAGACAAGAAGTTTTAGACCCCCCCAGACTATCCATGAAAGGGCGGCCCTTTGCCCAGACCCCCCCGAACCCTCCAAGACAGCTCAAATTAGACCCCCCCCGAATGTGACCCCCCCCACTTTGTTATGGAATCCGGGGTACGCAAATATTCGCAAACCACCAGGAACCACCGACAACAACGTCCAAAAGGCATCCGAAGGCCTGCGGAAGTTGCTCACGAGCCACGTGAACACGCCGGTAGGCATCTGAGGCGAGGCGCTCCGGAAGGGGCCTTGCCTTCGAGGGCCGAAGGCGTTGACATCTCTTCATTCGGCGGACAGCGGCGGAAGGCGGCGGAAGTATATCTAAAAAAACGCGAAGATCGGGACAAAATCGGGTCGGGATAACTCGAAATCTCTGAGAATCGGCGGGTTTGGAGGATGTATTGGGCGCCGCGGCCGCTCCAGAGCGTTCCAGAACGCTCTGAGAGCGCTCCGGAACGCTCTGGAGCGATTTATCCCGATCCTAGCCCTGTTTTAATAGCGAGACTGCCTCCGCCGGCGGAATTTTGCGGAAGGCCGGCGGAGGCAGGCGGATGTAAGATATGCGCCCCCCAAAGATGGTAGCAATTTTCGGTTCAGAGTTGGTGGGATCCGCCATGTGATAGCCTCCAGGAGTGTCCGAGGCCATCGGGGAACCACCACAGAACCCGAGAGAAGCGCCTCTTCCGCCTCCCCCTGCAGATGTCCCTAGAGGCGCAACGCGGGCCAAGCGCGGACAATCGATTTCGATCCGCGATCCTCGATGTTCGGCCCCCCCCCCCCCTCTCAGAGTAGGAAAAGATATCATCATCATCATCATCCTCCTCCTCCTCCTCGTCGTCGTCGTCGTTATTGTCGTCGTCGTCACCATCATCATTATCATCACCACCATTATCATCACCATCACCATTATCACCATCATCATCATCATCATCATCATCATCATCATCACTATCATCATCATCATCATCATCATCATCATCATCATCACTATCATCATCATTATCATCATCATCATCATCATCATCCTCGTAATCATCATAATCACCATCACCATTCTTTATCACCACCATCATCGTCTGTATCGTCATTGACGTCACCGTCACCGTCTTCGCCACAACCAACATCGCCATCACCATCACCATAGCCACCATCGCCGTCGTCATCATCGTCGTCGTCATCACCGTCCTCCTCCTCGCCATCTTCGTCCTCATCATCGTTGGTGCCATTGTCATCCTCTTGCTCCACGTCGTCGTCGTCATCACCATGAAAATCACCATCACCATCACCATCACCATCACCATTACCATCACAATCACCATCACCATCGCCATCACCATCACCATCACCATCACCATCACCATCACCATCACCATCACCATCACCATCACCATCACCATTATCATCACCATCACCATTACCATCACCATCCCATCACCATCACCATCACCATTCGTCAGTGTCGTCGTCGTCGTCGTCAGCGTCGTCCGCGTGGTCCTCATTACAGCCAACGCGCCTAGGAGGGGCGCGCGCCTGCATTTGGGATGCTCTTGTGTCCTTGTCAGCCACGCGCAGAGGGGGGATGGGGGCGAGGGGGGAGGGCTTCTCAGAAGCACCCCTGCTTCTCAGAAGGCGCGGGCCTTATCTATAGATGTAAGGCCGGCGCCTTCTAAGAAGCAGCCTCCTTCTAAGAAGCCCTCCCTCCCTCCCGCCACCCTCTTGTGCGCGCCGCCAAGATTGCCTCGGCGCCCCGTCCTCTGCTCGATTTTTGCTTGGCCGCCCGCCGCCCCCCCCCAAATCCCAACTTTGGCATCCAAGGGTCTTGCGTCCTTGCCGCCCGTCCTCAATAGAGGAGGAGGAGGAGGAGGAGGAGGAGGAGGAGGAGGAGGAGGAGGAGGAGGAGGAGGAGGAGGAGGAGGAGGAGGAGGAGGAGGAGGAGGAGGAGGAAGGAGGAGGAGGAGGAGGAGAGGAGGAGAGGGGGAGGAGGAGGAGGAGGAGGAGGGAGGAGGAGGCGGCGGAGGAGGAGGAGGAGGAGGAGGAGGAGGAGGCGGAGGAGGCGGAGGAGGAGGTGGCCCGTGCCCCAGACCCCCCTCCGCAGGCCAACGCGGCTCTCGTCCCGCCCCTGCCGCGGCTCTCCCGGGCCTCGCGGGCCCGCCGGTCCGTGGGCGCCTCCCCGCGGAACACCGGGGACTGGAGCCCGCTGGAGGGGACGGGGCTCCTCCTCCCTCCTCCCTCCTCCTGCTCCTCCTCGTCCTCCTCTTCCTCCTTCCTTCTGTGCCTCCTTCTCCTCCTCGTCCTCCTCGTCGTCGTCCTCCTCCTCCTCCTCCTCCTCCTCCTCCTCCTCCCTCTTGCTCCACCTCGTCCTCCTCGTCCTCCTCCTCCTCCTCGTACTTTTTCCTCCTGCGCCTCTTCTTCCTCCTCGTCCTCGTCGTCGTCGTCGCCCTCCTCCTCCTCCTCCTCCTCCTCTTCCTCCTCCTTGTCCTGCTCCTCCTTCCTCCTGCTTCTCCTCGGCGTCCTCGCCCTCCTCCTCGTTTTCGTCGTCCTTCCGCTGCTCCGCTTTGTCCTGGTCCTCTTCCTCGCCGTCCTTGCCCTCATCCTGCTGCGTACTCCTGCCGTGGAAAGACCACGATTGAACGCGCAGGAAATCATGGATGGAAGAGGATGGAGGCAGAACTGGCGAGGTACAGGCGACGGCCCCTCTTCCTCTCCCGCTCCTCGCCCTACTGTGCCCTCCTCCCATCCTTGTTCCGGTCCTCGTTCACCCTTCGCCCCCATCCCAGACAACCTCTTTTCTTCCTTCCCTGTCAGGAGGGGAGGAGGAAGACGAGGAGGAGGAGGAGGAAGGAACAGGGGTGAAAAATATCAGAGAAGGACTGGATTTCAAGCATCAAGGCGGGGAGAGGAGTCGATCAAGGAGGAGGCGGAGGAGAAGGAGGAGGAAGAGGAGTGGGCGGGCGGTCGAGGACGGGAAGGCAAGACGGTGGAGCCGGGGCAGGAGTGTGCACTGCAATAAGGAACGGGCGGGAAGCGCAACCCGATTCCAATTTGTGTTCGTATGTACCTAACAGCGAAGACTGATAGGTTTCTAGTGGTCTCAAAAGAGAGCATCATGACTCCCCAGGGGGGTCCGGGCAGGAGCCGGGGAGAATCCGCGGAAGTCGTTTTAAGCAAACAGTTACACACTTCGTGGTCTTCGAGGTCCCAGAACTCCACTCCCGGGCCGCATTCTGAATGCCCGGAGCCAACTGTAGGCCACTTCGTGCTCTTCGAGTTCCCAGAACTCCATTCCCGGGCCACATTTTGAATGCCCGGAGCCAACTGTAGGCCACTTCGTGGTCTGTTCCCAGAACTCCATTCCCGGGCCACATTTTGAATGCCCGGAGCCAACTGTAGGCCATTTCGTGGTCTTCGAGTTCCTAGAACTTCATACCTGGGCATGATTTTGAATGGCCGGAGCCAACTGTCGGCCACTTCGTGGTCTTCGAGTTCCCAGAACTTCATTCCTGGGCATGATTTTGAATGCCCGGAGCCAACTGTAGGCCACTTCGTGGTCTTCGAGTTCCCAGAACTTCATTCCTGGGCATGATTTTGAATGCCCGGAGCCAACTGCAGGCCACTTCGTGTTCTTCGAGTTCCCAGAACTCCATTCCCGGGCCACATTTTGAATGCTGAGGCAGGCTGAGGCTGAGGCTGAGGCAGGCTGAGGCTGAGGCAGGCTGAGGCTGAGGCCGAGGCTGAAGGCAGACTGAGGCTGAGGCTGAAGCAGGCTGAGGCTGAGGCTGAGGCTGAGGCTGAGCAGGCTGATGCTGAGGCAGGCTGAGGCTGAGGCTCAGGCTGATGCAGGCTGAGGCTGAGGCAGGCTGAGGCTGAGGCCGAGGCTGAAGGCAGACTGAGGCTGAGGCTGAAGCAGGCTGAGGCTGAGGCTGAGGCAGGCTGAGGCTGAGGCTGAGGCAGGCTGATGCTGAGGCAGGCTGAGGCTGAGGCTGAGGCTGATGCAGGGTGAGGCTGAGGCAGGCTGAGGCTGAGGCCGAGGCTGAAGGCAGACTGAGGCTGAGGCTGAGGCTGAGGCTGAGGCAGGTTGAGGCTGAGGCTGATGCAGGCTGAGGCTGAGGCAGGCTGAGGCTGAGGCCGAGGCTGAGGCTGAGGCTGATGCAGGGTGAGGCTGAGGCAGGCTGAGGCTGAGGCCGAGGCTGAAGGCAGACTGAGGCTGAGGCCGAAGCAGGCTGAGGGTGAGGCTGAGGCAGACTGCCGTTGCCACTGCGACTGTCATCGCGAATGCGACTGCGACTGCGAGAACAGCAGAATTCTACAACTGGATTCTCATCTGAATCTTAAGGGGAATGCTTCCAGATATGCTCATACACATCGCTGTCAGGTTGCTTTGCCTGGATAATTTTCTCATGCATCGTCCTGGACCTCGTGCTGCTCCTACTCCGTCGTGCCGGCATCACTTCAACAATCACGGGGTGCGCCCCGCAGTGCTGCGGCTGCCGCCGCCGCCACCCTTCTTCTGCGCCTTTTTTTGCGCCGTCGTCCCGCCCGCCGTCTGAGGAGGAGGAGGAGTTGGAGAAGGAGGAGGAGGAGGAGGAGGGGAAGGGGGAGGAGGAGGGGGGAAGGAGGAGGAGGGGGAGGAGGAGGAGGAGGAGGAGGAGGAGGAGGAGGAGGAGGAGGAGGAGGGTGAGGAGGAGGGGGAGGAGGAGGAGGGGGAGGAGGAGGAGGAGGGAGAGGAGGAGGAGGAGGAGTTGGAGGAGGAGGAAGAGGAGGAGGGGGGGAGGGGCTGCGAATTAGCTCATGTCAGCCTGCGAAGTAAGCACGACACGAGGAAGAGCTGCAGCGGCGGTGGCGGCATGATCAGCGGCGGCCGCAGCAGGAGCGGGCGCCTGAGGAGGCGGGCAGAGACCCACAGCCGCTGCAGCTCAGCCCGGTTCCGCTCAAGCCGAAGATGCGAGCGGTCGAGGGGTATTCGCATTGGCCACCTCGAGAGGAGTGCGTCCCTGACCCGAGAGCATCGATGCAACAATCGAGACGACATTCCAGAGGCTTCGGCCTTGACGGGTGCCTGGAATAAGCAAGACGATACTCGTTGGCAATTCCAAGCGCACCGGCTGGGCTCGAGGCTCCCCATGGCGCTGGCCTCTGTGGGCGTTGGGCAGCAGAGTCCTCCAGGGGGCGTCCGTCTGCTCACGGCCAGCATCAAGGAGTGCAGAAAGTCAGGCCGGTGGGACGTGGCGCTCGAGCTGATCCGGGAGGCAGCTCGTCTGTCCACGGAAGTGGACGCGCTGCACTACAATCTTGCCATTGGCACGTGTGGGAGCTCCAAGCAGTGGCAGCATGCGCTGTCGCTCTTGCCCAGAATGGTGGAGGCGAGGGTGGAGCCGGATCTCGTCAGCTACAATGCTGGAGTCAGCGCGTGTCAGAAAGGAGGGGAATGGCAGCAGGCGCTGTCTTTATTCTGCGCGCTGCGGCGTGTGCATCTGGAGCCCGACGTTTTCAGCTACAACGCTGGGATCAGCGCGTGTGGGCAAGGCGGCCTCTGGGAGCACGCGCTGTCGCTGCTTAGTGAGATGCGTGGTGCGAGATTAGAGCCGAACGTAATCCACTACAACAATGGAATTAGTATGTGCGATGCATGCGGGCAGTGGCAAGTCGCGTTGTCGTTGTTCGGCGAGCTTTTAACCATGAAGGTGGGGCAGGACATAGTAAGCTACAACGCTGCGATCACCGCGTGTGGGACAGGCGGGCGATGGGAGCAGGCGCTGTCGCTGGTGGACGGCCTGCGGGCGTCGAAGGCGCAGCCTGACGTCGTCAGCTACGGCGCGTCCATCCGCGCCTGCGATAAGGGTGGGCAGTGGCAGCAGGCGCTTGCGTTACTCGCCGAGATACTGGCGGCCAAGTCTGAGCTGGACGCGGTCAGCTGCTGCTCTGCAGTCAGCGCGTGCCAGGAAGGTGGTCATTGGCAGCAGGCGCTGTCGCTTCTCAGAGACATGCGCGAGGCCAAGATGAAACTGGATGTCCGTGGCCTCAGTGCTGCAGTCAGCGCGTGCGGGGAAGGCGGCCAGTGGCAGCAGGCTTTGCTTCTGCTCAGCGATGCGGTGAAGGCAAAGTTGCAAGCTAACGCGATTTCTCTCAGCGCTGGAATCAGCGCGTGCGAGAAAGGTGGACAGTGGCAGCACGCGTCATGGTTATGTAATGGGGTTTGCGCCATTCCGCCGACCCCCGGAGGAGAATGAGGATGAGGAGAAGGAGGAGGAGGCGGAGGAGGAGGAGGAGGAGGAGGAGGTGGTCAGCGACAATGAGGAGGATGAGGAGGATGAGAAGGAGGAGGAGGAGGACTCTAGTCATGGTGTGGCGCCAGAGCGTCCATCCTGAGTCCTCCACGGGCCTCCAGATGCACTACGGGACCCTCCCCTGGTACGCGCTCCAGTTCTACGACCATATCTGCCACCAGAAGTTGCTGGCTTAGAGTGTGTGTTTTGGGTTTCCTTTCTACGTTCTCCTCTATCCGATCTCGACGTCTATGTGGAAACGAGTGCTACTCATGGGCTGAGTCTTCGCAGCCCCTTTTGTGGCCCTCCAGAGGGGTAGTCGCGGGAATTACGTCGGCTACGTACGAGGCTAAGTCGTTCTTATTCCCTACTATGGTTGAGCATCGTGGGCGTCCAGGGGCTAGTCAAGTGCGACATGTAGATGATCTGTATATGCATTCCTGGGATGATGGTATGAACAGGTGTAGTGGTCAGCTACGTCGTCTAGCTAAGAGTTTGGCAGTGGTCAACACCCAGTTTCTCTCTGCCCCGCTGGCTGAAAAGAGGACGTGTGCATCTGCTAGCTCAACCGCGATGCTCAAACCCATGATTGCTGAGCTGCGAGATTTAGCAGGTCGAGGCGCGTGGTCCCCAGCTAACCGAGGCGTCTCGTTCTGTGCAGACAAGCACCAGATGGAGCCCTTCGCCAGAGCAGTGAGGAAGAAGAGGTCCATCACGCTTCGGTTCAGGGCCTCGAGTTTGTCCCATCTCACGCTCCCCCTTGGCAAGAACGCAAGGCTGTTCAAGTCCGGGGTCCTCCCCCGCCTTCGAGGAGGAGGAGGAGGAGGAGGAGGAGGAGGAGGAGGAGGAGGAGGAGCCCTTCGGCATGGACGTGCAAGGAGTCCCCCCGAACGAGCTCACGTTCATCCGTCGTGCCACCGCTCGTGCTGGAGGGAGAATCAAACGGGGGTGCAATCTCGATTTGTGATGGTTGCGCCACGCGAGGAATGACCCTATACCTGGCATCGCTGAGACGTGTGCATTTTTTTTCTCGGCGAGACCGATCGAGGAGCATCCTTGATCATGTGGCGAAGAAGCCACGCACGAAACCGACAAAAGCACAGGGAATGGACGTCCGAGCGATGGCCAGTAGATCCCTTGCTTGTGGCTTTCTGGAGAGATATGCCTGGGAGTGCTGGCAGGCGTCTGCTCCCGCATCGCACGGCCCCGCACGGCACGCTGACGCTCCGAGCGCGGGCACCTGGTGCGAGCGTCTTTGGGTCCCGCGAGCTCGAGCTTCAGCCATCCAGGGGGAAGCCCTGGCTTTTTTGTCGGACCAGATGCCCAGCTTCGGCCATGCTTCTGCGGTTGGAGACGGGGGGGTAGACTTCGGAAAAGGGCCAGCTATGTTTGTGAGTGCTCATGGGAGGCGCTGGCTGCTGACGGAGTCACCTCCCCAAGAGATTGCTGATTCGTTTGTGTCCGATTTGGCCAGTCCGTTAACCAGGTCCCCCAACAAGCCAGAGCTCGTGAAGAGAGAGGCCTGTGGCCCCCCGTGATCGAGAGGGTAGCAAATGGTCTTTCTCCCAGCGCATGGCACTTTTTCCGCCAGGTTCTGTCAGGAGCCCAACCGACTGGAGAGTCTCTGAAGGCGTGGGGCTACGACGTGGGCGGGATTTGTCCTATGTGCCATGTTAGGCCAGCCGCGGTCTGGCTCAGGACCTGGGGATGCCAATGCCCAGAGGGCGTGCAGAGGAGAGAGGCCCACTTCGGCTCGGAGCTCCTGGAGCATGTGCAGGCAGCTGGCCTGTGCTGCCTGCTACTCAGCAGGCAGCGGCCTGCGATGCGAGACCTCCCTGAGCCCATTGACGACTGGACCCCGAAATCCGTTGGCCCGGACGGTCAAGAAGTTGAGCCGTTTCACTTCCGTGCTGGCGTTTCTTTTCGGACGGGCCCTGTTTCCAAGGCGATCGGCTCGAGATTTCCCGCGCCGTTTCCGGGATTGCGTCCATGACCGAATCCGGTCAGAGGCTACGCGGGATGTGCGGTCTGTTGCTTCGTAGCTTCTCTCAGACCAGTCCAGACGGGGAGCACTCTGGCCCGGCTGTTGCTACCCAGAGGAGAGACCCTCCGCCCCCGGCCGGACCCCTAGAGCCTGCGAGGGTTGGCTGCGCAGGGCCTCCTGGCGGGAGCCAGTAGGCCCTGAAGGGCTTTGTCGGGCAGGTCTCGCATTTTAGCTTCTACTGGCGTGAAAGCAGTCGGAGAGTTGGAGATGGAATGTGGCCCACCTGAGAGAAGGTCAAAGCCCATCGCTCCTTTTACTTATGAACATCGCAGGTTCCTCTGTCGCTGATGAGTGCGCTAAGTTGGGGGCGCGATGCACCATGTTGTCTCCCCCAGATCTTGAATAGTTCGAGAAAAGGCGAGGCTGAATATTCCAGTCTCGTAGTTGGTGTTGTGCATGTCCTGAGGCGTGGCCCTCCTGTGAAAAGCAATGCGGAAAACTCTCGCGTCCTTCAAGGCCCACGGCGGCCAAGACACCGGGCCCCCCATCGCCGCCCTGTCCACCAGTGATGCGGACCGTCTCGGACAAGGCTTCCACCCCTCGTCGAATCCTGTCCCCGCCCACGTCTGCCCTCCTGGGAGGGGAAGCGGGGGTAGGGCACAAGCTGCACCAGGCGGGGGTGGTGGAGATTGACGTGCCGATGCTTTTTGTTGCGCGCTTTCTGGGGAGGGGGTGCGCCGGTGGAGTCCGACAAGGTTTCGGAACTCTGTTTGAACCCGTAGCGTTCTCAGCGGTCCAGGCTCCTCCGTGGGCTCTTGCCTTGCTCGAGCTACGACCTGGGGCAAGTGCTTCCTTTCTCGTCCATCCCTTCCTTTCCTCTGCCTCCTCTGCCTGTCTCTCCCCCCTCGCCCTCCTTGCCCCAGGGGGGTAGCTCCTCACTGTAGTGCGGTGCCTATTGCTCCTGGAGCGACAAGGTACCCGTTTGGTCTGCGAGGGCTGCGAGGAGGAAGTCGAAGAGGGAGGAGTGAGAGGAGGAGGAGGAGGAGGAGGAGGAGGAGGAGGAGGAGGAGGAGGAGGAGGAGGAGGAGGAGGAGGAGGAGGAGGAGGAGGAGGAGGAGGAGGAGGAGGACGACGAGGCATTTTGAATGTCACTTGGGGTCTGTTGCGGGGCTTCTTGCAGCTCTTGGGGGGCCTCTGGGGCGTCCTCTTGGAGGCCTCTTGAGGGTTCCCGGGGCCCTTTTGGCGCACTTGGGGAGCCCTTTAGGCGCACGGGGGGAGTCTTGGGGGCCTCTTGGGAGGTCTTGGGGGCCACCTGGTGCGCGAGGGCTTCCAGGGCTCCTTCGAATTCCCCTTTTTGGGCCTTCTTTGCATCCCTCTTGGGGCTGTCTTGAGGGCCTTCTTGGTTGTCTCGGGGGCCTCTTTGTAGTCTTGGGGCCCTTTTGGGCCGTCTCTGGGTCATCCTGTGCTGGTCTGCGGGGCCTCTCGGGCCGTCGTGGGCTTTCCTAAGACCGCGAAGGGGCAGAGCGCGAGAAACCTTTGAACAACCAGCGGGACATGAATGACTGCTCCCTCCTGGGGCCCTCGTGTGGGCACTGGAGGCCTCTTCTGGTGCGTTGCAGCGCGTCTTGGCCCATCTACTTGGCGTCTTGGGCGTCTTGGAGGCCACTGAGGGCGGATTTTTGAAGGCTCCAAGGGCCGCCGAGTACACGAGTTCCTGCCCCTCCTCCTGCCCCCCCTTCTACGTAACGCGACTTGGGTTCCCCGGGGAGGGGGCAGGGAGTGGCAAACAACCAGGTGTCTCACACGCCTGTTCACCCCCAGCAAGCGGACCAGCGGGGGTCGGCGGATTTGCCGAGCTGCGGAACATGAAAGTTGAGGCGGACGTCGTCGCCTACAATAGTTTTATTAGCGCGTGTGAGAAAGCCAGGCAATGGCCACTGGCGATGCTCTTGCTGCACGAGCTGAAGGCCGTGCAGTTGGATCCGACTGTTATCAGCTATGGTGCTGGAATCGCTGCCTGCGAGAAAGGTGGGGAATGGTTGCTCGCGCTATCCTTGTTCACCGATATGTCAGCGATGAGATTGAAGCCAAACGTTATCATTCTTACGCTGCAGGGGCGCGCCCCTACGAGAGGGTCCTGGGACTCGAGTGGCGTATCTTGCCACCCAAGAGGCTCCCAGAGGCTTCTGGAGGCCGCCAGAGAACCCAGATGCCCCCAACACAGCCCAAGAGGGCCTGCAGGACGGCCCAAGAGGCCCCGAGAGCGCCCAAATAAGGCTCCGAGAGGATCCCACAACGGCCCCCCAGACGCAAGCGCAACATTTTCGGCGTTCGCACACGCATACATACATCCATACATCCATACATACATACATACAGGCAGACAGACAGACAGACAGACAGGCAGGCAGACAGACCGACAGACAGACAGACAGACATGCATACATACATACATACATACAATCATACGTACATACATACATACATACATACATACATACATACATGCATACATACACACATACACATACCTACATACATACGTACGTACGTACGTACATACATTCATACATACATACACTCATACATACATATACATACATACACACATACATACACACATACTTTCATACATACATACATACATACATACATACATACATGCATGCATGTATGCATACATACATACATACACACATGCATACATACATAACCACATGTATACATACATACATACTTACATACATACATACATACAAACAACCATACATGCATACATACATATTTACAACCATGCATACATACCATACATACATACATACGTACGTACGAACGTACGGACGTACAACCATACATACATACATACACACATGCATACATACATGCATACATACATACACACACGCATACATACATGCATCCATGCATACACACTTACATACTTACTTATATGCATACATACATGCATACATGCACGCATACATACATACACACATACATACATACATACGTACATACATACAGACTGACAGACAGACAGACAGACAGACAGATAAATTGACATACAGACAGACAGACAAACACACATGCATACACATGCATGCATGCATCCACACATACGCACATACATACAGACACACACACACACATACATGCATGCATGCATCGGAGGTTGGGGGGTGAGATCGCAGTGGAACGGAGACCCCCAACCAGGAGATCGTTTCGTTTCGTTCGTGTCGTGCGTTCGGGCGAGGCGAAGCTGCGTGGGCGCGCGAGGGGATTAACCACCCCGTTGCTAGGGCGAAGTCAAGACAAGTGATCTTCCCCCGTCCGTCCGTCCGTCCGGCGGTGGCCCGCGGTGTCCCGCGGTGTCCCGTGGTGTCCCGTGGTGTCCACCGTTGCTAGGGCGAAGTGAAGACAAATGATTCTCCCCGTCCGTCCGTCCGTCCGGCGGTGGCCCGCGGTGTCCCGCGGTGTCCCGTGGTGTCCCGTGGTGTCCCGTGGTGTCCACCGTTGCTACGGTGAAGTGAAGACAAATGATTCTCCCCCGTCCGTCCGTCCGTCCGTCCGGCGGTGGCTCGCGGTGTCCCGCGGTGTCCCGTGGTGTCCCTTGGTGTCCCGTGGTGTCCCGTTGAGTGAGATCGATAGTGAGATCGATAGTGAGATCGATCGTGAGATCGATAGTGAGATCGATACTGAGATCGATGTGGTGCCCCGTGGTGTCCCGTGGTGTCCCAAAAGTGAGATCGATAGTGAGATCGATATTGCGATCGACAGGTGTCCCGTGGTGTCCCGTGGTGTCCCGTTGAGTGAGTTCGATATTGAGATCGATAGTTAGATCGATAGTGAGATCGATGTGGTGTCCCGAGGTCTCCCGTGGTGTCCCGTGGTGTCCTGTGGTGTTCCGTTGAGTGAGATCGATCGTGAAATCGATGAGTGAGACCGATAGTGAGATCGAGCGGTGTCCCGTGGTGTCCCGTGGTGTCCCGTGGTGGCCCGTGGTGGCCCGTGGTGTCCCGTGGTGTCCCGTTGAGTGAGATCGATCGTGAGATCGATAGTGAGATCGGCAAGCGTCCCGTGGTGTCCCGTGGTGTCCCGTGGTGCCCCGTTGAGTGAGATCCATCGTGAGATCGATTGAGTAAGATGTTTTCCCCCCCCCTCTGCCCCCCCACACAACCTCCTTATCGTCCGAAGGGTGGTAGCATGGGTGCATCTATGCATGCATACATGCAGACCTGCATGCGCACATACAGATATACATACATACCTACGTACATACATGCATGCATACATACATTCAAACATCCATACATGTATACATACATAAATCCATACTTGATTGCATACATACATACACAAATACACAGACAAACATGCATCCATACATACACGCATTCATACATTCACATATACATACATACAGACAGACAGACAGACAAACATACATGCATACGTACATACATACATGCATACGTACGTACATACATACATCAGTACATGCATACATGGGAGGTTGGGGGGTTAGATCGCAGTGAAACGGAGAACCCCCACCGGGAAATCGATTTCGGTTACGTGTTCGTGTCGTCCGTGCGGGCGAGGCGAAGCTGCGCGTGATCTTCCTGTAGCTATGCCGAAGTAGGGGCGAAAGTCCGTTGCCCGTCCGCCGGTGGCCGGGTGGTGTCCCAGTTGGGCCAGGCGGTGTTCCGGGTGTCCCGGGTGTCAGTAGGAGCGAAAGTCCGTTTCCCGTCCGCCGGTGGCCCGGAGGTGTTCCAGTTGGGCTGGGCGATGTCCCGGGTGTCCCGGGTGTCCTGGGCGTCCCAGCGCTAATGCATGTCGCTAATTTCATAATTCATTTTTGTCGACGCCTGCGGCGGGCTTTCTTATCCAATCCAGCTTATCTTATCCAGTCCATCTTGTCCTATCCAATCCATCTTATCTTATCCAACCCATCTTGTCCCATCTTATCTTATCCCACCCGATCCAATTCATCCAACCCAATCCATCAATTCATTTGTTTCTGCGCCTGCGGCGGGCCAATCCAATCCATCTTATGTTATCCAATCCATCTCTTCCACTCCAACCCATCTGATCTTATCCCATCACGCGTATCCCATCCAATCCAGGCTGGAGGTCAGTCAGGGTGGGCAGTTGATCTCAATCCCCCCCAACCTTCTTATCGCCCGCAGGGCGGTCGTGTAGGGAGATACACACATGCATACAAACATGCATACATGCATACACACATACATACATACATACATACAGACTGACAGATAGACAGACAGACAGACAGACATATGGACATACAGACAGACAAACATACGTGCATAAACATGCATGCATGCATCCACACGTACGCACACACATACATACATACACACACATGTATGCATGCATCGGAGGTTCGGGGGTGAGATCGCAGTGGATCGGAGACCCCCAACCTGGAGATCGTTTCGTTTCGTTTGTGTCGTGCGTGCGGGCGAGGCGAAGCTGCGTGGGCGCGCGAGAGGAATAAACACGCCGTTGCTAGGGCGAAGTCAAGGCAAATGCTTCTCTTCCGTCCGTCCGTCCGTCCGGCGGTGGCCCGCGGTGTCCCGCGGTGTCCCGTGGTGTCCCGTGGTGTCCCGTGGTGTCCGCCATTGCTAGGGCGAAGTCAAGACCAATGATTCTCCCTCGTCCGTCCGTCCGTCCGGCGGTGGCCTGCGGTGTCCAGCGGTGTCCCGTGGTGTCCCGTGGTTTCCGCCGTTGCTAGGGCGAAGTGAAGACAAACGATTCTCCCCCGTCCGTCCGTCCGTCCAGCGGTGGCTCGCGGTGTCCCGCGGTGTCCCGTGGTGTCCCGTGGCGTCCCGTGGTGTCCCGTGGTGTCCCGTTGAGTGAGATCGATAGTGAGATCGATAGTGAGATCGATCGTGAGATCGATAGTGAGATCGATAGTGAGATCGATGTGGTGTCCCGAGGTATCCCGTGGTGTCCCAAAAAGTGAGATCGATAGTGAGATCGATGTTGAGATCGACAGGTGTCCCGTGGTGTCCCGTGGTGTCCCGTTGAGTGAGATCCATAGTGAGATCGATACTGAGATCGATAGTGAGATCGATGTGGTGTCCCGAGGTCTCCCGTGGTGTCCTGTGGTGTCCTATGGTGTTCCGTTGAGTGAGAACGATAGTGAGATCGATGAGTGAGACCGATAGTGAGATCGAGCGGTGTCCCGTGGTGTTCCATGGTGTCCCGTGGTGGCCCGTGGTGTCCCGTTGAGTGAGATCGATAGTGAGATCGATCGTGAGATCGGCAAATGTCCCGTGGTGTCCCGTGGTGTCCCCTTGAGTGAGATCGATACTGAGATCGATTGAGTCAGATGTTGTTTTCCCCCCTCTGCCCCCCCCACACAACCTCCTTATCATCCGAAGGGTGGTAGTATAGGTACATATATGCATGCATACAGGCATCGATGCATACATGCAGGCCTGCACACACACATACATATATACGTACATACATACCTACAACCATACATGCATGCATGCACACACACATACATACAGTCATACATACACGTATACATACATACATACAGACCCACTCACACACATGCAAACACACATACGTACACATACACACATGCATCCACACATACACACTCATACCTATACACATACATCAACATATATACATATATACACGTACATATATATACACATACGTACACACATACATACATCATTCATGCAGGCATGAATACATATACACATGCATTCATTCATTCACACACACACATACTGATCTACCTACCTAGACACATGCATTTATACATACATGCATGCATCCATATATTCATTCATACAATCATACACATGTCGATGCCTCCATACATATGTGTTATATATGGTGACACACGTCGATATATGCACGTATACATATATACATCTACACATAGAAACATTTTTCTTCACATGTACACAAACGAACATGCATACATACATACATACATACATCCATACATACATACACACAGACATACATACACACCTATATCCATACACACATACATGCAAACATACATACATACATGCATGCATGCATGCATGCATACATACATACATGCATGCATGCATGTATGCATACATACATGCATACATATTTCCTCTCTCTCTATATATAGCCGTGTTTATATATGTATATGTATGGCCGAATAATTTTCGATCGCCGTTTTGACTTATCAATTCGATTCTGGGTCTCCTGGGCTCACACTTCCAGACATCTGGCTGCTCAATTTTTTTCGATGCGTGGGCCCCGGCTCCCGGAGGAGCCCAGGACGGCCCAGGAGAGCCCCAAGACGGCCCGAGAGAGCCCCCAGGACCCCAGGAGCTTATAAACGGGGCCGAGGAGCCGCCAAGGAGGACTCACGGAGAGCTCCGATACAGCCCAAGAGCCCCAACAGGGCCCCAAGACGGCCCCAGAGGCCGTGCAGACGGCTCGCGGCGGCCCAAAGCCATTGATTTTTGGATGGGTTTGCTCGCTTGTCGGGTTCTCGCGATTTCGAGCTAAGAGCGGCCAAGGAACGGCTCCTGGGCTCCCCACGGATGCTCAGGGGCTCGAGTGGCTCCGGCAAGGGCCGCAAGACGGCTCCGGAGTGCTCCAGGACGGCCCCCCTGGCCCTAGAGGCCGTCCATACGGGCCGCGGCAAGCGAAATCATTGATTGTCCTATTTTTCTTCGCATGCATATATATATACACACATATAGATCTACATCTATTAAAACAGCCGTTTCGAGCCAAGCCCGGCCCAAGACGGTTGATGGGGCTCCCCCGAACGCTCCAAGGCCACCGAACAGGATCCGGAAGAATGCCCCACAAGCACCTAGGAGGGCTCCAGGACGGCCCAGGAGGCGCCCAAGATGGCCCAAGAGCCGCCCAAGACGGCCTGACGACAGCCCGAGAGCCGCCCAAGACGGCCCAGAACGGCCCAAGACTGCCCATGAGGCGCCCAAGACGGCCCCAAGTCACCCTCAAGACCCCATACGAGGCTCGAGGATACCTCCGGCCGCAGCAGGACATGCACACTCTGAACACACGCCAGATGACAGTGACGGAGTCCACGGGTTCGCCCTAGTAAGCTACAGCGCGGGGATCAGCGCGTGCGAGAAGGGTGCGCAGTGGCAGCTGGCGCTGGCGCTGCTCAACGAGATGTGTCACGCGCAGCTGGAGCCCAACGTCATCCATACTGCAGTGCTCGGCTCAGTGCGTGCGAGGCTGCGCTGCAGTGGCAGCGGGCCGAGTCGGCCCCCGGCGCCCCCGGCGCTCCTGGGGCGGTCCTGGCTGGCCCTGGGCGGCCGCCAGAAGGCTCCAAGACGTCCACGTCCTCCTCCTCCTCCTCCTCCTCCTCCTCCCTTCTCCTCCTCCTCCTCCTCCTCTTCCGCCTCCTCCTCATCGTGTTCGTCCCCTCCTCCTCCTCCTCCTCCTCCTCCTCCTCCTCCTCCTCCTCCTCCTCTCCCTACGCCTCCTCCTCCTTCTCCTCCTCCTCCTCCTCCTCCTCCTCCTCCTCCTCGCCCTACGCCTTATCCTACACCTCCTTCTCCTCCTCCTCCTCCTCCTCTTTCGTGTTTGTTCCCCGAACTATTCCAACGGTCCATCGACTGGCAGGCTCCAAGACGACCAGTAGCGGCTCGGGGACGCTGCAGAGCGCGCCCGGAAGGCACCGCAGGCCCCGAAACCAGCCTCCAGCTGCTCCAGGACGGCCCCACGAGTCACGCCAGGAGGCCTCCCAGGACGGCCCAGGAGGACGCCGATGCTGGCCACAGGAGGCCCCAATCGTGTGCTTCCCTGTGGTTTTCGGGGGATTTTCGATTTCTCCCCATTCCGCATCAAGAACGGCCCCCAGCGCCTCTTACATCGCGTCAGCGCTGGCCAGGAGACTCCCAGGAGAGGCCTGCGACGGCCCAAAAGGTCCACCAGATGGCCTTCAGAGCTCGAAAGACGCCCCAGGACGGCTCCAAGTCGTTTCCCAACTCAGCTTCCGAGGATATTCTCCAGAAGAGGCTCTGGGGGACAGCTTTGGAACGGCCCCCAAAGTACCACAATATGCCTTCAAGACGCTCCAGACAGGCTCGCAGGAGGATCCATCGTGCCCCGGACAGGGCGCCAGAGACGCCCGAGGTGTTCAACTTCGACGAGCTGTTCACACACGGTGTGCGAGTCCCAGGTTCAGCGCTCCGTGGATTTCATCCGCGGGTGCACACTAGTCCCTCCTGCAACGGCTGGCCCAGCGCTCGCGGAGGGGCCCATCGGTTGCAGCGGACCGGCCCCCTCCGGCATCCCCTGCGAGCCCCAGCAGGCCCTGGCGCGCTTCCAAGATGGCCCAAGAGCGTTCCGAGACGCCCCAGGAGGCCCCCAAGAGGGCCCCAAGACGGCCGAAGACGGTCCAAGAGGGTCTCGGAGACGCGCCCAGAGCGCTCGACAACGCCTCAGACAGCCTCCAGACGGCCCAAGCGGCCTCCAAAACGCTCCCAGTGGGCACCAAGAAGAGCCCCAAGAGAGCCCGAACACCGAAAACTATACACATTTCCTAGGGGAAGTGTGCATTTTGAAAGTTCCCGGGCTTGCCCTCTTCATAGCGTCCAAGACGGCCATACAGGGTCCCAAACTGTCCCCAGGACGGCTCCTGAGGCGCCCCTGGTGGCCCACGAGGTACCCAAGACAGCCTCAAGAGCGGCCCAGGACGGCCCAAGACGGCCCCCAGACGGTCCCCAGACTGCTCCAGAGACGCCCAAGACGGCCCCAGACAACCCCCAGTCGGCCCCAGACGGCCTCAACACGGCCCAAGAGGCACCCGAGACAGCCCAAGAGGGCCCCAGGAGGTTTCCAGGAGGCCG